CTAGATTGAAGGTGGGGCCGCCGCTGGTGAAATGTCTTTGGCCACTGGGCTGCAGGCTGCTCACAGGCCCCTCTGCCTCCTCTCTCTGCCCAGGGACGACCTGGTCCGGGCCATCAAGAAGCTGAAGGTGCTGGGAAACGGGTTTGGGATGATTCCGGTGGGCGGGACGTACCTGGTCCAGTCGGTCCCGGCTGAGCTCAACATGGATCACACCGTGGTGCTGCAACTGGCAGAGGTAGAGCACCAGAACCGGACCCCCCGAGTCTGGTTTCTGAAGGCAGCAGGATCTCCTGGTTTCGCGTGCACTGTATAGACTCTTGAGCTTGATGGACAGAAGTTATTCTGAAACTTGTATTTCTGAGGTGTTGAACATAGTAGATGAATCCACAGCTCAGCAGCTGAGCTGGGGACAGCGCCGTTCGTTTAACATCATCACTGAAGATAACATTTAACAAACCGTCAAGCATTTTTTTCATAGTCTGTGAACAGCAGCTATCGCACAAAAGCTTCACAAACTTAATTTCTTTCCATCAAGGCTGCTGTTGCTTGAATTTCAGTATTTAACAGTGAACCCATTAAATATCCAACTTTTGACATCGGCAAAATGTATCGCCAGCAGGATTTTGTCAGACAAGTGGAATGGAAAATGATTAAAAACAGCTTTTTACTCAGAGATTAAACTTGCTTGCTAGAGGCAGTTTGCATTCACAACTATGTTTTCCTTTGGTGCCGTTTGGGAATGGAAAACCAGAATGAGTGAGTGTGTGAACGTTTGAATTATTCATGTTCTGCTGGGCTGCATATTGGTGCAGTGGCGAGCATTGCCACCTCACAGCTCTGGGGCCCTGGGTTCAGTTCTGGACCTGTGGTGCTGTCTGTGTGGAGTTTGCGTGTTCTCCTCATTGTTGATGTGGGTTTCCTCCCACAGACCAAAGACATGCTGATGGGTTAATTGCCTTCAGGGACAGCGGGTCCTGGTGTGTGCGCGTGCGTGCGCGTGTGTGTGTGCCCTGTGATGGACTGGTGTCCCGCCCAGGCTGTACCCTTGCTGGGACAGGCTGGGGCTCCTCCGCCACCCTAGCTAGATGAAGCAGTTAGAAACTGGATGGATATGTTCAACTACGGGATCCTTGTCGGGAGCAGTGAGCTGAGCATTTAAAGGGAGGTTCCCTGTACCTGGTAGGATGGGGACTTGCTGAGCTAGTAAGGGGGGTGGTATATGGAAAGACATCTGGTGGGCCTATTGTTACCAAATAAACAGAAAATGAGGCTTTAATGACGACATGGTGAGCCCCCTTTCACTGTATTGTGAATCTGAGCCAAATGGAATATCACTGTTATGTCACTGGAATGATGGAATATATGGAGTATACCTTTGGAATGGAATGTCTTGTTGTACTTTGTACAGTGGAATTTGCTTGTTGCTTGTTGCTTGTTGCTTGTTGCTTGTTGCTTGTTGCTTGTTGCTTGTTGCTATACTGTTAATATCACTGTTATCGCCCTTGTTGCACTCTTCTGTGCAACGTTTTACAGTTTGAAATAAAAATCCAAAGAGTCCTTGAAGCCAGGCACCCCACAAAGCCCCAGGGACTCCGTCGTCCCTCGGTTTCTTTCGTTCAGCGCGTCTTTCTACGCCATCAGCACGGGCGAATGCGAGTCGGAGCCAGCCGGGCCGTTGAGGCCGGAGGCGTTCTTGCTACCGCCTGCCCTGGGGGGGGAGGGGCAGAGCTCGGCGGGTATTGTCAAGTCCCCGGCTCTCCGCCGCCCGTGCCCGCGTGAGTGGGCAGCCTGGGATCCGGGTAGCCGCTGTCCGCTCCCGCCAAACGGGGGAGCACCCCTGCGTGTGGCGCAGAGGCTTCGGGAACAGCTCCTCGCACCCTGGGAGGGGTGCCTGGTGCCCTGGGCTGCTGCCTGACCCGGCTGGTGTCTGTGTGTGCTCTCTGTCCGCAGAAGAAGGGCTACGTGACGGTGAGCGAGGTTACGGACAGCCTGAACTGGCAGAAGGAGCGAGCCTGCCACGTACTGGTGAGTGTGCCTGCCCCTCGTGTGTCTGTATTCGCGTCTCTTCCTCTGTTGCGTCTTGTGTGTTAAGCTGAGCGTGACCAAACCTGTCTCCCCCCCCTTTCTGTGACCTCTGACCTCTGGCTGTGTCCAGGACCACCTGCTGAAGGAGGGGCTGGCGTGGCTGGACTCCCAGGCCAAGGGGGAGCCTCAGTACTGGCTGCCCGCCCTCTTCTCGGAGCTGCGGTCTTGTGATGTCACCCCCGAAGAGGCCAATCAGATGGTGCCGTGAGGCGGGGGAGGAGCAGGAAGAGGTGGGGCTCTGCTCACGTGGGGGGGGGGTGGACAGATGGACAGTCGGTCACGCAGACGCCTGGGCAGAGTCACTTGTGGCCGCGGGATAAAGAGCTACTGTAGAAGGTGGAGTTGTCTCATCAATCGCAGGGATGCACTTTATTGCAGTGTGTTAAGCACAGTGCAGATGTCCTTGTAATGTGTGAGAAGACGGGCAACCTTGTCAACCTGAACCTCAGACATTGTAAATAAACTTGTAATCATGGAATAATTCCTCTGTTTTTAACATGTTGTTTATTGG